AGCAGGCAAGCGAACAAGGGAGGATTTTGTTCTGTATTGTTTACTTTCAAACAACCAAAAAAATGTAGTGGCACCTCATAAAGTCAAGAAAGTTCTGGCATCTAACTCACTGAATGGTTAGGAGTAAGAGAGCCTGCAAAATATCCAGATAGCCTTAAGTAAAAGAAACAGACTTTATGAAGATCTGTCTGCCACTCCCTGTGGTCTTTACTTGTCAAAAGATGCTGCCCACTCAGATAAGATATTCAAGGTCTCCCAGACAGTGGGGACTCCAACACCCCTTCCACAGACCGGTGCTCTGGTGACATGGAACTAGATATATATAAACCAGTTGTTCAGCACAAGCCAGTACTGTACTCTGGGAAAGGCTGTGGTCGAGCTTTTGGAGAAGTCAGTGCTGGCTCCTTGTGGGTTGGCATTCAGAGCACAAGTTGTGGTTCACGGGAAGGAGCGGGAGACAGACTATCTGCACCCCACGCTTGTGCCTGTGCATGGCATGGCCACTTCCTCAGTTTTGTTTCATCTGCAGATACTTAAAGTGCAGAGGGGAGCCCGTGGCTGAATCCTCTCATGGCAGTTTGGGGAGTGTCCAAGACAGGGAGTGTGACCAGATTTATAACATAGCTTTTGGGAGACAAGCTCAGTAGCCTAGTAGCAGTGATCTGATTTAAGTGGCAGGCCATTGTCCAACTGCAGAGATGGCTCACAGATGGTCAAGGGATCTGGGCTCCTGTAAGCACATGCCAGAGGCAGAAAGCTGGACAGTGTTGTCCTTTGTCAGTCAGTCAGATAGCTTTGTCCTCTTGCTACTAGCTCGCAGAGAGATAAACACAGCCACGGGGGAGGCACTGCATGAGTACTTTGTTTTATGCAGATTTATAAAATGCCAGTAGTTCTGTTGGACCAAATTCAGGGTGTTGCAGGTCATTTGCATTACAAAGAAAATATGGGGAAGAAGTCAAGTGTTTCTCTGGGGGAGAACTGTCTGCAAACAGTGCAGACAAAGCCCTGTTTGCTTGAACACTGCAGGAGTCAAACCACAAGAAGAGAATATCTCTGTCCACAGTTGCAAACTCTGTTTCCAGTCAATATATAGGTTATTCTGAGCTACTTCTTTGGGTTACATTCTCCCTGCTTATTCTATGTGCTTGTTTTTTCTGTCTCTTTGACTCTCAGACACCAGCAAGCACAGATCTTCTAATGCACCCTGCTTTATATATCAGCCTGGCCTTGAGACAATGCTTCTACTCAGCCTTGACAAGGGACGCTGATTAGGGTCTAGCCTATATTGTTTTGGCTTTTACTAAACAAATAGTATTTATCTGCTTTGTTATTTAGCACCAAGGGAAGGGCAGCTATACCGACAATGCATTTTAATGAGGCTTGACCCAAATCATAATACCATTTAGTAGTAACAAATAATGCTGTGTGAATAACTTATTTAACAGATCATTGCTCAAACCAAGAAATAGGAAATTTTTGTTTCGGGACAAATGAAGCATTCAGAGTTTTTTTTCCAGTTTGTTTGTTTTTTTTAGTTCCCTGTCAAACAATTGTAAAAGGAAACCTCATGTCAAAATTGAAATTCAAAATATTTACAAAAAATTTTTAAAATATTGGCAGCTTTCATTTTGTTTCTTCATTTCTTTTAGCTGAAGTCATCCAGCAGATTGAGCACACATTTGCAAATAGCTTCAGCCGACCTGAAACTGCATTCTTCAGTGAAAATACTCCTTGTCCAAAATATTTCATATTGCTGTCATAACTCAGATGCTTCACCAAGGCAGGCAGATCAAATTAGCCCTATTTTATAGATGGCAAAACTGCAGTATGGAGTTTGACAGTGTACTCAGGGTTACATAGGGAGTAAGTGTAGAGGAGTTTATGGGGTAGAACCCAGGTCTTCTGATCTCTTCTTAGGAGTATTTTGTCTTCAAACTCTTTGGTACATAATCCTTCGAGTGAAGAGGTGGGCAGAGCCCGAGTACCTCAGTATAAGACAGGTCCACCTGAATCAGGTATGCTGTACAATTTTTGCCGATTAAAAACAAAGGGTAAAATCCCTGGCCTCACTGAAATCAACTGGAGTGTTGCCATTGAGTTCAACACACAGCCTGCATGAGCCAACATACCTATTCTTCTAGTGTTCCCTCCTGCTGTTTCACCACAACCGTCCTTCTCTGCAAACCGATCCAAAAGACGTTGTGCCTTGATTTCATTTCAATTCTGCTGCAACACAAATGCTATTTTTTGGCCTGAGCTCAGTAAAGTAATTGCTTACAGGAGTGACAAATATGTTACTGCCCTTAGTGCCCAACTCCCTAGCAACAAACATCTAGTGGCCCAACTCTCGTCTGCGTTAGTTCAGTTTTAAGCAATTTTGCTGATGTAAAAAAAAATTCCATCATCATAAAACGAGTGCCACATGGGGCAGAATCAGGACCTTGCTCTTTATGATGGGCCAATTTAGGAATTAATTGAGCAGAGAAGTTGTAACTCAAGTAATTATTTACTGAAGGCAGAGCTCACTTGCATGTCAAAAAGTATGTGAATGGGCTGTTTTGTTCTTTGGAATTAATGCCACATACTACAGTCCTGGGACATTTCTGTTCCCAGCTACACTGGCATAGGGACAGTAAAGCCCACTGTGTGCTTACACAAATAGCATTTTTGACCAAACTAGGTGGTGTTAGGTGGGCTGGCTGGGCTGCTGGCCTGGAGGAGGTCAATGCAGCCATTTATGCAAGAGAGACAAGTGGGATCTGGCCCTTATCAGCAGGACATACAAAGTGCTTGGGGACAGAAAAAGTCACACTCCTCCTGTTTCAATAATAATAATAATAAGAAGAAGAAAGCCTTGTGGAGAGGGACTCATACACAAGACAATTATTAGGGAGAGACTGTGTTACAGTAATTTGCAGAGCAAGGAATGTTTGAAGTAAGAAACTCCCCCCCTGCTTTTTAATAGAAAAAGGAAAAGACGGTAAAATGTGAAGAAGCAAGCTGTTTGAGTTGTGTCATGAGGGAATAGATCAGACATGATGCCACTTCAGCCCTTCACAGGGAAGAAGAATTGACAGATTCCTTTAAACCCTTCACCACTGATTTGCATGGCAACTTCTCTATGGAGGTAGATATACAGCAGCTATATTAATCTATGCCACAGAGAAGCTGCCATGCAAATATTATGGCAGCTTCCTTGAAGGGCAGCACCAGAAGTGCCATCTGTCCTGTATACACAAGTGGCCAATGTAGGAGTAAGAAATGGGACTAGGAGCCAAGACTCCTTTTGTTCTAATAGTACCTCGAGGGCTGCTTGTCAAATTAAAAAAAATTGACCCATAAAAGAAAGGCCAGATACCACAACACCTTTGTCAAAGCCATCTTCAGCTAAACCAGTGATTATTTCTACTTCTTGCCATTGTTGAGAACTATAAATATAATTATATTTCGTTGTTTTTCTGACATGTGCCATGGATCCTTCTTTTTGCTTCTAAGAGGGCATTTCCCCTGTTGTGGTTTGGGAGGCTCACTCGCAGTCATGGAAATGAGTCAGTGCTTGTTCACTCATTGCGCTGAAGGGAATGGTAATCTGTAGCAGACACTAAGTTGCTTGATGCTGATCTAGTATAACATTTAATTGCATCCACTTGATCAGACTTTGGATAAGAGAAGCAGAGGCAAAGGAAATTATCTCTTAACCTGTCTTTTTCACCTTCTAAATCCTTCTTACCTCTGACATGCTCTTGCTTGTTAAAGGTTGCTTAAAATTTGTTAGATCTGATGTAGGACATGGCATAGCTTATATAATGGATAAGACTAGGTATATTAATATGAATCAGGACATAACCTGTTAGGTACATTTCTATATGTTTTAGTCTTATTTAGCAAGCCTTTGAAGCTGAGTTAGGTAATTCAGTATAAATTGGGTGCACTTTGGCATCTTTGTTCTTCACCCTTGACTGATGGTTCTTGCTGGATAAACCAAGGTAAGTGCTTCTTTAAAACTCAGTTTTAAACTTAGGTAAGAAGTCCTTTTCCCCTCAGAGGCTGCTACTTGTTAGAGGTTTTTCAGACATTAGGACTAAGTATATTTAAAATTAATCTTTTTCTGTATAAATATTAAATATTCTATCAATAATGAATATTTGATTATTTAGTTTGAAATACTTGACCTAAACTGCTTTATTATCTACCATATGTATTTCAATATTAACCTCACTAGTAAAATTTAGACTTATTCTCTTGAATATTTGGTTTTGGTGGGACAGGCTCCCCAACTTACCTTGGTCCCCAGAACACCTCTGAGGGTCCACAGTACCAATATTCATAGATTCATAGATGTTAGGGTCGGAAGGGACCTCAATAGATCATCGAGTCCGACCCCCTGCATAGGCAGGAAAGAG